GGTGGCTCCCCGCTCCCGCTGAGGCCCCTCGGGCTGGCTGAGGTGTCGCCTCTGAGCCTCTCCCCCACTCCAGGGGGGCAGTTTTGTGTGGAGAGCGAGGGGATATCCTGGCAGATCCGCTTTTGGAGGGGATTCTGGGCCTGCTCAGTCCTGGGGGCTGGTGTGCGCGGCACAGCCACGCGAAGGCCCCTGGAGGGTGAGGAGGTGCTGGGGGCGCCGGAGGTGAAGCACTGCCGTGGTGCACTGTTGTGGCAGCCTGGGCACGAAGGCCACGGGGTGCTCTGGCACCCCAAGGACAGCCTTGGCCGTGGGAGCTTTGCCCCACCTCATCTCTGCGGTGTGACAGCCCAGTGGGAGCATGGCCTGGCCGCTGTGATCAGGCCAGCCCTCCCTCCAGAAACGTCACGGTGAGGGGAGGCTGGCATCCAAAACATGGGGCTGCAGCCCCGAGGAGCCTGTGGGGCCCGCAGCAGCAGGTGGCACCGGGAGGGCATGGGCAGCACTCCAGGAGGCTTCTCAAAACAGTGAGAGCTGGGGGTGTGCAGTCTCAGTATTACGCATTTTAGTAACAATGGTGTCTATTTGTATGCCACTTCTCTAGCAGTGGTTTTGTACATTTGTGGTCCATTGACTTACAAGCAGTTAATTCTGACGTCCACTGGTGTGAGAGAAGTGGAGGCGTCATGTACCCTGTCGGCAGTACCCGGCCAGGGCTCCCTTGTGCTCAGTCCCCAGGGGGCTGCCAGCGCAGGATCTCATCTAGAGAAAGTCATTTTAGTTAGTGGGAATAAGCAGCCTACCAGTAAACTTTTATTTGGGAGGAGCGTCTGGGAGGCTTCCAGGAGTTGCAAAAACAGCCGCCATGTACTCCTCTTTGCTGAGGTGGTCAAAGTACAGTCCAGAGCTAAATGAAGTGCGTTGTCTGCTTTTCCCTTTACTGTGAATAGGGGTGCTAGCAGAGGAGAAGCTCCTTGAGATTTGTGTTAGCACCTTATATTGTTGTTAATGTCTCTGTTTTGATGCAGTACTTGGGCATTTAGTATGTTGAAAAGTTTCCGTGTAGCCTGAAAAGCTTAAGCACCCGCTCCAGTGATTTTTGTTCCTTTCTACAGTGGGAGCAAGGCTGAGGTGCAAATTGAGCCCCCGTTAAGTTAATGTCAATTTCTGCTGGTTTCAAGGCATGGTGTTTCATTTCTAGGGCCTGAGCAGTTATCCCTCACTTATTCTCTTGGTCAGACTTTGGCCTACTATGTTGGGGGATTTTCTTTTTGTGGTCATGAAACTCAGTTTATTAGAAATACAGTGAAGTCACAAGGGCAGCATTGCTAGAAACCCGGATGAATTCACTGATCACTCATGGAAATGAGGTTCCTGTGGTATTTTTTTCTCCATTAATGGTTGTGTATTGCTGGGGAGGAGAAGAAAAGAAAATGAAAGGATCTTCTCATCTTTACATAGCTTGTATTGCCAGGTAGTCAGAAGAGAAGTGTGGTATTGAATAGTAAAGCAATAATTTTGATTCTAATGAATCTTTGTCAAACAATCAAATTCCTTGTCCTGCGTGTAGGTTATTTTTTAGTCCTTGGAATTAAACTTCGGAGGAAGTTTAACTGGTGCATAATTGTGGCATATCACGCATTTCTGTGATGCATAATAGTTGGCAATACCAACATCTTACGGCATCTTTTTAGATTTGTAATGCTACGTTTTGTTTTGTTTTTCAGAGAATGCAGATGGTAAATATATTTCCCCATTTCATGACATTCCACTGCTTGCTGGATCTAAAGAGGTATGTATTTATGCCTTGAAACACAATTAATTTCAAAATTATAACAGTTTTGTTGGTATTCCTCAGGTAAAAATGCAGTTTTTAAAAGCATTTTTTTTAAGCAATTAACAAGACAAAAGTGTAGCACCAGAAAGGACCATGTTAACCCAGGCTGTTACATTACCTTATGTAATACAGGCACAATAACTCTGCCAGATTTTCTCTGCCAAGTTCAGTATCTTGCAGTGAAACATAATGATTACTGTGTAGACAAGCCTAGGTGTCCTTTTAAGTCTCCAATTGACTGAGAGCGAGGGGAACCCTCACTCTTATCCTGTTCTCCTCTGTGTTTAAGGTATGTGTTTATGTGCTCTTGAATTCATTTTCTACTATTACTCTTTTTAAAGTGGCATTTTTCTACATCTGCAATTAAAAGTGTACATTTCCTTGCAGTAGGAGAGGTACAGCACACACTTGCGTAACTTAGGGTGTATTTCTTTAATTCCCAAAAGGAGTGTTGTAATTGGAAGCCAACAATAATGCCCAAGAGAGAAGTGGTAATCGCACCTTTGGAGAATTACAAGGTGTGAGGTGCAGCTGAGCACTTTCATGTCTTGTTAGCCACACTCCCTGGAGTTTCATTATAGCAATAATTAAATGCCTGTTTTATGTGTCACCGGTGGGAACTGCCAGTCTTTAGTTTAGACTTAGGTTTGCTTATTATGGTATGCTTGTTACACAAACAGGTTGGGAGGGTTTTGGCCATTTTCTTGATTTGTTGCTGGGTCTCTATGGATGATATGAATGGTGAGAAAGGTCAGCAGTTGTAACAGGTTCAGATTGAGACTTCTGAACTAATGAACCGATCTCTTAAATTACTTAAAACGAGAGATTAAAAATATGCATGAAACCTTTTTGATCAGCAGACCCTAAGCGTGCTAGTCAAAGGAAGAGGTGAGTCTCTTTCAGAAAGTCATTACTAAGATGCTCTGTTCAATGGGTGCTATTGCTGGAAAAGCAATGGGCATTTTCATCACACATTCCCTGGGGGCCTTGCTGTCCCTGCATCTAGAGTTTAAGGTTTGGAGGGGTGGATTATAGTCTGTGATTCTTCTGTAGATTAAACTGTAGTACAGCATTGTCTGATAAATGTGGAGAGGCTTTCAGTTTGGTGTGTGAGCAAGGAAAGAGTATTCTGCAGGACATAGGGGCCTGAGGGGGGAGCGAGAAACGGAGTCATTGTGAAGGTCTCTGTTAATTTTGCCTTCTTCGCAAGAGGACAATGTAAGGAGTTGTATGTTATATTCTTTCCCTCCGCTGGTCTAAGCTTTGTGGACTTTATTTTATGATGAATAACTCCAGCCTTATTTTCCATACTGGTTTGTTTGTTTGGTTTGCTTTTTATCTTTTTCAACTGAACAGAAGGATGACTCTGTGTTTTTAATCAGTTGATTAGGGAGAGGCCTAAATTGCTGCTTAAATTTTTTAGTAGTTGGGAGAAGGTGGATGTGTCCTTGTACATTTTTGCCTTCCTCTGTTAACATCTGGAAGGTTGTAATTTCACAATGAAACCGGACTGAGTACTTACTTTTAAAAGTTACAGTTTAGGCCTTTATGCTCACAAAGGGATGTTTCAGTTGCATTGAAAACTACTGTTGTCTGTATTTATGTGAATACAGTATTGCTCTCTAATGTTCTTTATACACTTCTTTACTTCACTCTTTC